GATAATAGGGAAGCGTACCAATTCCAGCACCGATGAGTACCGCGACCTCGACGTCAAAAACGTCTTCAGCGGGTGCTCCGTAAGGTCCATCGATTCGCACAGCGGGCATAGCGCCGGCGGTGCTCGCATCCAGTTCAACGAAGTCACCACGCAAGCCAGCAGTCTTTTCTTCCTTGTCCGAACCCTTCATCGCAGCTTTGGTCATGGCAGCGACGACGGAAGGACCGGCACCGAGACGTTCTCCGAGGGCGTAGGTAAAGTCCCCGACTTGTCTGACATGGATCGAAACGTAGGGATCGTCGGGCGCAGACGTGATTGTAAACTGAGATGGAAACAAAATCAGTCCGGCAAGTAATGCCTCGTGAATTAAATCTTGTCGCACCGGATGCCATTGCCAGCTCGAAAGTTCCGGAACCTGGAGGAAAAGCCATTGACCAGACGTGTATTTGAAGCTGGGCTTCACGATTCGTAGTTCCATAGCGCCTGCGGCAGGTTCAACAGAAAGTCGTATTAAGGGAAGAAGAGAAATACCGCTCGGATGAATGAGGACTCGGGACAGTCGTGTTGCCCGCCGGCCACGGTACTCCCGGTACACTCGCTCCGCGAAATACAGTATCCCTGGCCAGATTGTGTATCGCCAGCTGAGGTAACCCAGACAGTGCTCGGGAGTGTAAAAGGGGAAAGTCTTGATGTATGCGGGGTCGACAGTATCGCGGACGAAGCATCCCGTTGCATGAGTGTAGAGGCCTATCATGAAGAAGAATGCCAGATGATGAGTGTACCAGAACGCCTCGAAGCATTGGTGCCGCATTTTTGCCTGAGCAGTGGTATACATCAGGAGCATGATGAGGAGCATGAAGTGACCGGTCACGCCGCCAGCTTGGGTGTAGTGGATTTGCAGAGCGTATTCTTTTCGGACCTCTGACGAGCAGCAATATTCAGCACACAGCAGGTTGGATGAATGGAGACATACGAGTACGCTCAACGTTGATAAAGTTGACATAGTGCCCCGTCGTGTGGACCATCGTCCAGAATGCCATAGAATATGCCACTTGTCTGTGGAACCATAGATTCTCATCCGCAGGGAAGAGCCACGCTAGTTTGGGCCGAACCACGCGAATGATGTTTCGCAACAAGGGAATCAAGATGAGAGCTCCGTCAAAGGCGAGGACGAGGCCAGCACCGCGAGATACCCAGACCGAGAATTTGAGCAAGTTGAGGGCAGCCAGCTTCTGGTTCGTTTGCTTTTATGAAACGATCATAAGGGAGTGCGGTGCAGGAGCCGAGATGCACGTACTTGACTGTGCCAACCATATGCAAAGAGGAAAAAATGCAATCCATAGAATATAACGTTGAAGACAAAGCGTCGCGGAGCAAGGAACTCCCTGGCGAACCAACTTTCTCCCATAATGTAGGACGTGGAGCTTTCAAGCGCAAAGGAACAGATAATCTGAATCCAGTCAGACCGGAAAAAATGAGGATGGTGAGAAAGCTTGGAGGGCAAAGGCACGACAGAACGAGCTGGTTAGGTGTGATATTTGGAGCATTTCCAAGACACCGCCTTTCAAGGTTCTAGACAGTTCTGGCCATCCCAAAGCGGCATGCATATGGCGACAACGAAAATTAGGTTGATAGAGCCGAAACTCGCCATGGCCAGTGTAGTCTAGAGCCATGGAAAGGCGCGGTATTGTCAAGAAGCGGGTCAACATCAAGAGACAAGACCTTCCAGACCCGTAGACATGTTTCGTCGGCCTGGGATACTACCCAGGACATGATGGCGAACATCAACCCAAAGTATAGGATCCGACGCCATTCTAAGCATATTTGAGTCCACGCTTCGCCGAAGCGTGCGGTCCCTGGCAGAGTGCGAGTAATAAAAGACACTCCGAGTTTGGCTGCTGGCTGTTTGCTGTTGTTGGGTTGAGCAACCATCGCGCGACCGTCATCCGGCAATCACCGCTTTTTTCCACCAATCAAGATGCATCAAGCTTTGTGCGCTACCGAGCTCATACCTGGACATTATTCTGACCTCGAGAATCAGCCATTATTGTGTCTTGATTGTGTTGAACTACCGCGATCTGCCTGGATAGACTTATCGTGCGCTAACACTCGAAAGTCTCAAGAAGATCCTGCACGGGTCCTCCCAAGATCCTCAATGCTGTAAAATCACATCTCTCAAGCAGAGGCGTGCCTGTGAGTCAAAGAATTCAAAGTTGATGTCGATAGATCTCTTAGAAAGCTCTTTTATCGCCCAGCGTTCATTGAAAAACAGTGTTTGCGGCCCAATACTTATACTACGAAGAGATATGGAAGAACAGTACCCCAAAATGTTACAGGCCCCTTCTCGCTCCAATTACACGCAGTAGATGAAATATCGAAAGTTGAATGGGGCGAAGTTCAATCATGTCACGTGATTCAATATTCAGCTAGGCGCTGGCCAGAAAATTTGACTTCAATTTCCCGAATCCCTTGAATCGGGAGATATTCGCGACGGTCGCTTTCCACCCTGAGTGTAAGTCCAACCTATTGTTTTTCAGCCCAAAAAGATTTTACTCTCACCAGTGGTATAATATAGCTCGAGTCGGAGTCGACCCCGCCTGCAGCTTCTGCTTCAACATGTTTCTTACTTTTGAATGGGCCGAGCCTTTCTGGAGCTGGACTCTGCCCCCTTTAACTGGGTGTGTGAGTGAACCGAAATTCCACGCAACAGTTTTTACAAGAAAAAAAAAACCCCAGAAAAGCTCTATGACTTGAGCCGGAGTTGAACCAGCGTACTATCCTGTTTCATCCACCACGGTGATGATCCAAGTCATGCAGATGTTGACCGCCCAACACCAAGCCTTTCTGGCTGGTGCCCTCTTTAACTGTGTGTTAGGGTGAAGTGAAATTTCACGCAGCAGTTTTCCAAGAAAAAGAAATGGAGGACAAAGGTATGGCTCAAGCCGGAGTCGAAGAGACATGTTCTGCCTGAAAGATACATAATTCACGCAGATGTGGGCCGCCCACTATCGAGTCTTTCTGGGGATGGTCCGTACCCTCTTCAAGTGTGAACTGAAATTCCATGCAGCAGATTTACAAGACAAAAAGAGGAAGAACAACTCGGGCTCACGCATAAAATCTGCTGAGTTTGGGATGGTCAACCTTTTTATGAACACAAAAGAACTGCTGATATCAAACATGGCTCGAGCCGCAGTCGAACCGGTATCCAAGTTCTGCTTCAAATTTTCATTATCATTTAGATTAAACGCAGATGTGGGTCACCCACCACCGAGCCTTTCTATAGCTGGTTGGTGCCCACTTCACCTACCTGAGTTTTGAACCCGATTGCGCAGACATTATTATTTGTCGAAGGTAAGAAGATGTTTGAAGACACAGCGCTCGAGCCGGAGTCTTCTGCTTCAATAAATCATCAACGCAACAAGTTGCACAGGAGCCTTTCTGAAGGCTGTTGGTGGCATCTCTATGTGTGTGAGTTCAACTGAAATTGTGTTCTTATCATCCAGAGTCGCAAACCGCTGGAACAGAATAGTACAAGGAATTATCCATGGTCCACGCATCATCATGTGGGGCCCCCCTTTCCTCAGCCATGCCCAAGGTAAGAGGTTTGAACGGTAAAAAAAAAGGATTTTCATGCTCAACTATATATAAGGCTCCAGCCGGAGTCGAACGGGTGTCTCCTGCTTTAATCCATTCAATAGACCACATGTGAGTTCTGATTCATATTTCCTATGTTGACATTGTTAAATCATAAGAAAAAACCCACTTCAAATCTGGACGTCACGGATCAAGTTCAGCAGATGGGGGCCGCTCACAATCGATCGAGCTTTTCTAGGAGGGTCCGTCCCCTTTTTAAGTATGGACTGAAATTCTAGGCAACAGTTTTATGAGAGAAAAAAAGCCGACAGAAGCTGCTATGGCTCGAGCCGGAGTTGAACCGGGCTCTCCTGAAGTTCACAGGGTTCGTCATCTTCAAGATTACGCAGATGTGGGCCACCCAGCCTTTCTGAAGCTGGTTTGACCCTGAGTGCTGACCCAGATTACATGGGCTCAGTTCTTCTAGGGAAGAAATCCAACTGAAGTCACGCCCGATGGCTCGAGCCGGAGTTGAACCGGCGTCTTCTGCTGTACCTTTCTAATATTGCACAAGTTACGCAAACGTGGGTCACCCACCATCAAGCCTTTAAGTTTCTGTAGCGGGGTTGTGCCCTTGGTACGCACGTGAGTTTTTGGTGGTCAACTTGTTTATAAAAACGCACTTCACCGCCAATATGGCTCGAGCCGAAGTCAAACTGGCGCCCGTGTTCTGCTTCAAATGTCCACTTTGAACGGACCAAAATTCAGGTAGATGTGGACCACCCACCACTGAGCCTTTCTGGAGCTGGGTTGCGCCCTTGGTTTTGCGTGAATTTCCGACGTTCAACTTGTTTATGACCAAAAAAACAACCATACGAATGAACCATAGCTTGGCCGGAGTCGAACCGGCGCCTTTGACTTCATGTTACAGAAACCAGTAAGGTGGAGCAAATGTGGGCCGCCCACCACCGAGCCATTCTGCAGAGGGTTGCGCCCTTGGCACCTGCGTGACTTTTGAACGGTCAACTTGTTTATGAACAAAAACCCTTAAATAAGCGCGATTATGGCTCGAGCCGGAGTCGAACCGGCATCATGGCCGGCTCCACTATTTTGTATGGCGCTAAGTCAGATGTGGGCCGCCCACCGTCAAGCCTTTCTCATGCAGGTCGGTACCCTCTTTATGTACGAACCGGATTTCCACGCAAGAGTTTTACAAGAAAAAAATTGAAGAAACCATTGACATGGCTCGAGCCGGAGTTGAACGTTGAACCGGGATCTTCTGCTTAATCGACCTGCAGCTGACCACACCCAAGTTCTGGACCGCCCACCACCGAGCCTTTATGAGCATGGGTCGTGGCCTTCGAACCTGCGTGAATTTTCGACGGTCGACTTGTTTATGAACAAAAAGCTTTCGACAAATGCTGCTATGGCTCGAGCTGGAATCGAACCAGCGTCTTCTGCTTGACTTTCTGGAACAATGCAAATTGCGCAGATGTGAACCGTCCACTGAGCCTTTCAATAGCAGGGTTACGCACTTGATACCTGCGTGAGGTTTCGACGGCCAAGTTGTTTATGAACGAAAACAAACAGGCAAAAGACAGATGGCTCGAGCGGGAGTCGAACCGGCATCTTTTGCTTCACCTTCATTTTTTTCAGTAAAGTTACGCAGACGGTGGGCCACCCACCATCGCGCCCTTGGCACCTGCGTGAGTTTTCGATGGTCAACTTGTTTTTAAAAAAGTACGTGGTAATTCATATAGCTCGAGCCTGAATCGAACCGGCGTCTTCTGCTTGACTTCTGGGGCCAATTCAAATTGCGCAGATGTGAACCGTCCACCGAGCCTTTCAATGGAAGGGTTACGCACTTGATACCTGCGTGAATTTTCGACGGCCAAGCTATTTATGAACGAAAACAAACAGGCTAAAGACAGATGGCTTGAGCCGGAGTCGAACCGGTGTGTTCTGATTCACGGATTTCCTTCGACCCAAGTCACGCAGATGTGGGCCGCCCACCCCGAGCCTTTCTGAGAATGAGTGGTACCCACGTCCTTACAGGTTTGCAAGTGGTTGAGTAGGGATTGGCATGTTGCAGCACCATTGTCAGCGAGGTCACAAGATAGAAGAGCTCAGTACGTGCATCAGTTTTTGAACGGTCTTAATGTTCGTCCTCCAAAAAAGTGTTGGAGGAAGGGAATATGGCTCGAGCTGGAGTCGAATCAGCAGTTTCCTGCTTTAAATGCAATTGTGGAACGACATCATGTTGGTTGAGTAGAAGTGGACCACCCACCACTGAGCCTTTCTGGAGCTGGGTTGCGCCCTTGGGTTTGCGTGAATTTCCGGCATTCAACTTGTTTATGACCAAAAAGACGCCCAAATGCAAGAACTATGGCTTAGGCCGGAGTCGAACCGGCGCCTTTTACTTCATGCTACAGAAACCAGAAACCTGTAAGGTGGAGCAAATGTGGGCCGCCCACCACCGAGCCATTCTGCAGAGGGTTGCGCCCTTGGCACCTGCGTGACTTTTGAACGGTCGACTTGTTTATGAGCAAAAAGCTTTAAATAAGCGCGATTATGGCTCGAGCCGGAGTCGAACCGGCATCATGTCGGGCTCCACTATTTTCTATGGCGCCAAGTCGCGCAGATGTGGGCCGCCCACCGTCAAGCCTTTCTCAGGCAGGTCTGTACCCTATTTATGTATGAACCGGATTTCCACGCAAGAGTTTTACAAGAAAAAAATCGAAAGCATTGACATGGCTCAAGCCGGAGTTGAACCGGCATCTTCTGCTTAATCGACCTGCAGCTGAACACACCCAAGTTACGCATCTGGACCACCCACCACCACCGAGCCTGCCTGGAGCTGGTTGGTATCCTTAATACATGCGCGAACTTTCGACGGTCCTCGTGTATGAGCCGTCAAGCAACTATGGCTCAAGCCGGAGTTGAACCAGCATCTTCCGCCCAGCTTCCCTAGGTATGGGTTTACGCAAATGTGGGCCACCTACCACCGAGTCTTTCTGGTGGGTCCGTACCCTCTTTGAGTGTGAACTGAAATTCCACGCAACAATTTTACGCGAACAAAAAGAGAAACTCAAAAGTGGCTCGAGCCAGAGTTGAACCGGCGTGTTCTGCTTCATCCCGAGGTGGATCGCACAAGTGCAGCAGATGTGGACCGCCCACCACCGAGCCTTTCTGAGCATGGGTCGTGGCCTTGGAACCTGTGTGAATTTTCGACAGTCGACTTGCTTATGAACAAAAAGCTTTCGACAAAGTCGAACCGGCATCTTTTACTTCACCTTCATCTTTTTCAATAAAATTACGCAGACGGTCGGCCACCTACCATCGCGCCCTTGGCACCTGCGTGAGTTTTCGACGGGCAACTTGTTTTAAAAAGGAACACGAAGCCATCACATAACTCGAGCCGGAATCGAACCGGCGTTCTCTGCTTCACATTCTGGGACAACCTAAATTGCGCAGATGTGGACCGTCCACCGAGCCTTTCTGTAGCAGGGTTACGTCCTGAAGTCCTGCGTGAGTTTTCGACGGCCAAGTTGTTTATCAAGGAAGGCAGATGGCTCGAGCCGGCATGTTCTGCTTCATAAAGAGTAGGTGTAGCAGATGTGGGCATCGAGCCTTTCTGGGTAGGTCCGTACCCTCTTCGAGCGTGAACCAAAATTCCGCAGTTTTCCAACAATAAAAACATCAACTATCAGTATGGCTCGAGCCGGAGTCGAACCGGCATGTTCTGCTTCAAATTAGTCTTTTTGCTCTGGGAAGGTTGAGCAGTGTGGGCCGCCCACCATCGAAGCCTTTCTGTAGCATGGTTACGCCCTGGAGGCCTGCGTGAGTTTTTGACGGTCAACTTGTTTATGAACAAAAAGAACCATGGTGGCACTATATGGCTCGAGCCGGAGTCGAACCAGCGTGTTCTGTTTTATTTCGCTGTTCATAGTTTAGGTGGAGCAAATGTGGGCCACCCACCATCGAGCCACTCTAGCCTGGTGCGTACCGTCTTCAAATGTGAACTGAAATTTCACGCAGTAGTTTCACAAGAAAAAGAAACGGGAGACGTAGGTATGGATCGAGCCGGAGTCGATCCGGCATCTTTTGCTTCACCTTCATCTTTTTCAATAAAGTTGCGCAGACGGTGGGCCACCCACCATCGCGCCCTTGGGACGCGTGAGTTTTCGACGGGCAACTTGTTTTTTAAAAAATTACGAGGCAATTCATATAGCTCGAGCCGGAATCGAACCGGCGTCTTCTGCTTCATATCCTGGGACGACCTTAAATCGCGCAGATGTGGACCGCCTACCGAGCCTTTCAATAGCAGGGTTACGCACTTGATACCTGCGTGAGGTTTCGACGGCCAAGTTGTTTATGAAGGAAAACGAACAGGCTAAAGACAGATGGCTCGAGCCGGAGTCGAACCGGCGTGTTCTACTTCACTTTTCTAATTCTCAATAAAGTTACGCAGACGGTGGACCACCCACCATCGAGCCTTACTGAGGGTGAGTGATGCCCTGGTAGTACTTACAAGTTTGCAAGTGGTTGAGTAGGGATTGGCATGTTGCAGCACCACTGCCAGCGAGGTCACAACATAGAAGAGTCCAGACGTGAAATGCGATGCAGTTCAGCCGCAAAGCTGTATACGTAGATGTTGCACCGCAAGGATTCACCGAGGACACCAAATTATGGCTGTAGGTCCGCGTGCTGAGAATTCTCTACGAAGCGGTGGCAGCTGTGGGCGCGAGAAGCCGTCGTATTCACCTCGGTTCGGGATCCGGACTCGTCCCATGATATGCGGCCTGTCGTAAAAACCCACGCGCCCAAAAATCCCCAGCGCGACGAGCAGCTCCCCGAAGGTGAAAGCACGAGATGAGAGCCGGAAGGAAAGCAGAAGATGAACGCACGAAGTCAGAGCAAGGCCGCGGACTCGGCATCGGGATCGTATTAGGTGATCGGCCGGAAAAGGCAGTATTAGGGGATCTGACTAGGTGACAATCAGTCCAAAATTTGGCGGAATTTGATCGGTGGAATCGTTGTCTTGTCTCTCTCGCTCAGTCCTCTCCATGAGCAGCCTCTGCCTCTAGGTCTCCTCAAATCGTCTCCTCTCTGTTGTATCTCTTGTGTTGTCCTTGTATCTGTACCCACCATGTCTCAAGTACGCTTGCGTGTACTGGAGAGATGTACATTTACCTTTACTAATACGTGTGCATAGGACTCTGCAGCACTCTCGCTGCTCTCGCTGTCCATCGCTGCCTCCAATGCCCAGCCCATCCCGCTCCAACTGGCGGCGGATTCGAGCACCAGCCCAAACGCAGGGCCCGGCAAGCTGCACCAGCACCACCGCCGGCTGTCGTCGACGGGAAGGCGCCGGCGGCTCAGCGACGCACGGGATGCCGCGAGTAGGCCTTTGTGCGTCTCGTCTCCCTCGCATATGCGATATATATGGAGAGCTGATGCGGTCGCTGCTACGTAGATCCGTAGGCAGCCCCGGCCTCTCCATGGCCGCCCTCTCCCTCAACACCACCTCCACCTCCGCCTCCCCGCCTCCGTCGCTCGCCTCTCCCCATGGGAATGGGCGCGCAATCGGCATCCCAGCAAGCGCACCCGCGAAGACGATCACGACGCCCATCCCTATCGCGCAGCCCGCAAGCGTCGGCGCCAGTGGGGGCGGCAGCCGCAAGAAGCGCGGCGTGGACCACAAGTGCGAGGCATGCTCCAAGGTCGGTGGCTGCTCTCTCCTCTCGTCTTTCTGCGCTGCATTCGCAGTCGCATCCACCGCCACACCTACATTATTTTTTCCTTCCCCCCATCATTTCATTAGAGATTTCTGTCAATCACTTTCTCCGCTCCATTTCGTCTCATCCCGCTTCTTCTGCCTACCTCCTCTTCGGAGCAGGATGGGGGAACGGCATTATGGCCGCCTCTGCTGCGTCGCTGTGGCACCATACCCCTGTCTCCCAACTTTTTGGCCAGCTCCACTTCCTCGCGAAATTTCCCGAGTGTGTCAGCGGGTTTACGTGAACTAGGCGCTGGCTGTACCCGACGGCGGGCACTCCATTGTGCAAGCGCTCTATTGCCCAAGGTGGTCGAGTGCGCGGGCCCGGGAGGGTGGGGCGGGGTTGTGGCCAATCTGTGCGCGGCGTGCCGTCGACCGCGGTTGTGTCATGATCACTTCGCTTCGATTTTTTAATTTCGTTTCCGTTCGACATTTTACTTGATTTTCCCCATGCGTTCGCTTCGGCGGCGGCGTTGTGGCTCCGAGGAGAACGGGCGGCTGCGGCTGCGCTTCGGGCATCTCTTTGATTTCGGCCCTCGACTCCACCTTTATATTTTCTCTACATATACGCTCACGTTATGACCGCCTCTTTCGGCGTTCGCTGCTCATGCAGCGGTCGAGGTCTAGTGCCTCGACGGGAGAGCCGCGTTTCCTTTCTGATATTTTCTTTTTCTCTTCATGTCATCTGCTTGTTCTGGTGTTTTGTTCTCTCGAACGGAACGGGGGGTTTCGCTGTTTGCTCTGGCATGGGGGTTCTGCTTCTTTATTTTTATTTTTATTTTTTTTGGGGGGGAGCGGGGCGAGGCTTCCCTTTCGTTCTTGGGTTGGGTTACATAGGCGGGAGCATCTTCGTTTTCGTTTTCGTTTTCGTTTTCGCTTTTGATTCTGACTCGTGCTATTCGGCGTCTCTGGGCTCGAGCGTGTCGCCTTTCTTTCTTTCTTTGGCCTCATGCGCGTTCTTCGTCGGAGAGTCGGGTTCGCCTCATTTCCGCTCCTTTGCTTTGCTTGGCGGATCTATTCTATTCCATTTCTCTGCCTTGGCGGTTTCGGTTTCATTGTTTTTATTGCTTTCCACCCTTTCATTCCTCTCCTTTCTGTCTTTCCCTCTTCCTTCTTATCTTTCCTTCTTATCTTTCCTATCTATCTATCTTCCCTTCCCCTCCTTTACTTATCTTCCCTTCCCCTCCTTTACTTATCTTCCCTTCCCCTCCTTTACTTTACTTTACTTTAACCTTCCTCCCTCCCGCCCCTATACACAACTCCTCACTTCACTTCTCACTTCAACGCTCACTCACTCCCAAACGCCGAACGCTCGCTAACCCAAATTCGTTTCGCAGATCTACCGCCACCCGTCCTGCCTGATCAAGCACCGCTGGGAGCACACGCCGCACTGGCGCACGCTGTCGGCGCTGCCGCACCCCGGCCCCGGCGGGAGCGGCGCGGGCGTGTTGAGCAAGCATGCGCAGGTGAGCGTTGTGCGGTTTTTTTGAGTGGGAGTGGGGGAGGTTTTTTTTGGGGGGGGAGGGGGCGGGGCGGGGAGAGTTTTTTCTGCGGGGGCGTGTTGTGGTTTTTTGAGTGGGGGAGATTTGTTGGACAGGCGATCCGTGGCCTCATCTCCGTTGGGCGAGAGCTGATCTGCGACGGGAGGGCGACGTGGGTGATCTGCTCTCCAAGTCCTGTGCGTACACGGGCGGAAGCGCAGGACACGTCGAAACGGTCGTTGGCATGACGGGGACGGGACGGGTGCTCTTCCTGCCGTTTCATTCCTTCTATTTTCCTTCCTTTGACGACAGGGGAGCGGCGCGGATGAGAGAGATTCCACCCGAGTTCTCTGTCGTCACAGTCGTCGTTCGTTCTTCTGGAGCGAGCGATGCGGAGTGTCGAGATTTCGCAGGAGTTTTCTGTCTTGATATTCGCCATCCTCATCATTCTCTCTTACTTTTTTGTCGCCTCTTCGTCCTCCCTTATCTTCTTACTGACCCACTCTCCTCCCCAGGTCCAGCTCCTCGAAGCCGCCGCCATTCTCTCGCACCTGTCCCCCGACAGCGATACCGGCACCTCACTCCCGGAAGACCGCGGCATGTGGCCGCGCTGGGTCAGCGGCGGCGCGCTCGAGGGCGAGGAGGGCGCCGTGTCCGCGTCGTTTGGGTCGCTCGGCGCGCCGGGATCGGTCGGCGGCGACGGAGACTACGCGCCGTCAAGTGTTGGCGGAGACTACCCGCCGTCGAGCGTGGGCGGGGACTACCCGCCCTCCTCGGTGGGCGGCGAGTACGGCTCGCTCGGCGCGTCGATCAGCGCATCGTACGGTGGCCGCAGCGGGAGTGTGATGAGCGAGTACGCACTGCGCAGCGGGGGCGGGCCGCGGCTGCACGACTACGAGGTGCCGCGCGGAGCGGAGGTGCGTGCGGGGGTCGTGGAGGTGCCGCATTCGCATTCGCATGCGCGCTCGCACGGCCACGCGCATTCGCTCGGCGGGCACGGGCACGGGCACCATCGCAATGGGAGCGGCGGGTGGAGCGTGCCGCGGAGTGTCAGCGTCAGCGCGAGCCTCAGCAGCAGCCGGTCGACGCCGAGCGACGACGAGAGCGGGGACGCGGACGAACAGGACGAGCAAGACGCCGACCAGCGCGGGAGGCGGGTGTGGAGCCTCAAGCGCGAGTCGGAGGAGTTTGGGTTTGAGCTGGATCTGGGGGGTGTCAGAGAGGAGGACGACGAAGACGAGGAGTACGATGCCAAGGAGAAGGTTGGGGCGGGGCGGTATGGGAGCGGGCGAAGGGGCGAGAGCGAGAGTTTGAGGTGGGGCGGGATGGTGGAGGCGATGGACGATATTGATATGGACATGGATTGAGTCGGCGTCGGCCGTCGTCCAGATCATTCGCCAAGTCGATTCCCATCTCCATCTCATCCATGCACCGCCAACGAACCCACCAACGAACGACCCACCAACGCCTGCCTATCTATTTAACTGTTATCTCGCCCCTCGCTGCTCTATCTCTGTCCCTTCCCTCTTCCCGCTTTCGGTGTCCCGGCCAACCCATCAATCCATCCATCCGTCTGTCCTGTATCTATCGTGGCGTGCGCCTACCCATGGAGACGCACCGCACCCGCTGACGACATGGCCACACTTGGCACTACTACATTCGGTGTTCCTCCCGACAATCACAATCAACCCTCAACGCTCTGCTTCCCCGAGCGAGCACCACCTCCATCACCTTCATCCGATTTTCGTGCGCGCCCTCCCGCGCATAGCACAGCACGATTTTTCTACATTGTCACCGTCATTCCTCTGGTCTCTCTTCTCTGTCTTTTCCCCCATGGTCTCGCATCGACATATATAGCTAAATATCGCCTCGCACACACAGCACGGACTGGGTCTCTTTTCTTCTCATCCACTTGCCTCTTATCTGTCTGTCACTATACATCCCCGTCTCTTCTCTTCTCTTCTTGTCCTATATTACATACGTCACGGTACACTTAGTGTGGTGGTTCCTCCCCTCCCCTCCCCTCCTCTCTTTGCTTGCATCTTTTTCTCTGTTTCTTTGGGTGTGGATATGGAGGACGTTCAGAGGAAGGGGGAGCGCAGAGTTTGAAGGAAGGAGGGAAGATACGGACAAGGAGGGGAGAGGAGTAGGGAGTGGGAGGAACAATGAACGAATAACGAAGCGAAAGGAAACAATGTATTTTGTATTATTATATCTATTGGGTTTTCATCAAGGTTGGGGTACAGGGTACAGTATGGGCGGAAATAAACGATTGTTGGAGGGAAAAGCGAGCAGGAGAATTGGGCGAACCGAAGTTGCGCAAAAAGGATTCCGAATCGGGGAATCGAACCCCGGGCTGCCGCGACCATGCTGACACCTTCGCGTCACGTGAGAGGCGGCAATGTTAACCCCTACACCAATTCGGACATGCTACTTACTAAGATGCGGACGATGACTAGGGTACAGTCGGGCTTGGTAGTTTTACGCGGAACTGTTGTCCAAGCGGGATGCTGGAATGTCTGATCGCACACTGATGGAGTTGCATCCACTCCTATGCCCTTTTGGGAAGTCCTTCCCAATTGGATTGGACCAGCCGAAAATCAGCAGTGAAATGCAGCCAAGAAGCTGCCTCAATTTCAAATGAAGCCATGGTGTACGAAGCAATTCATGGTGGGCGCAAGACAAAGCAGCAAGCACTTAGATGTGGCTGGAAGCAAGGACCAGACCATCACATCTCGCTTGGTCAGTTCCATTAGGGGACCCAGATCTTTATTTCTATATACACACTGGATGGGGTGCATAATATAGCTAAAAGCCTGTAGGATACAACATGAAGAGTCTACAAATCGAAAAAATTAAGCTTTCTCCACAAATGCTCCAGCATGAAAAGAGAGGTCATGCAACAAGCTCAGCATGCACGGGGATACAAAATGCCAGAAGGTTGGAGGGGATAAATGATAACTTGAAGGGGAAGGCACTGTCAATGAGCTGCCAGAGACCTTGCTGGCGACGGGTATGATGCGGGAGCCACTGACAACAGGCACAGGGCAGGAGGGTGTACATGGTTTGAGCTTGATGACATGACACTTGTTGACAGTTTAAACCTTGTTGTTGTCTCTAGTCTCACAGCATAAGTGGCTGCTCTTCTGCTGTGCGTAGCCCTCATTGAGGGGATGCACTGGCAGCGATGGTGAGCGGCGGCACTTGTTATTGCCAACAGTGCCACATGAGTATGACAAGGCGGAAACGATGGTGTGGGCATGTGAGGAAGTGGGAGGGGGGAGAGACTCGGGGACAGGGACTCCTCAACTGCGATGTGCTGTGTCAGCTCAAGGTCGCCCACCTCTTGAGACACTGTGGGTGATGTGGGGTAAGTGCAGCAAGCTAAGCAACCCCCTGCTGCTCGTAGACACTTTGGCTGCAGGTAGCGGCCTTGAGATAGCGAAACGACAGTGTTTTTGTGTGTCATGTTGCCTATGCCTATGCCTACAGTGAGGATGCCTAGGTCGGTGACATGCTGTGTGGGCTGCATGACAGGCTGGGCGTAGATGGGGTTGACACAATGCTGAGAAAGTGGAGATGGCAGCTGTCGCAGAACGGAGTGTGGGGCTGGTAGACAGAAATTTGGGTCAGAAGTGTGGGATATGGGGTATATGGGTGAAGCAGAAGATATTGGAATGGTCCCAGGAAAGTTGTAGACATGTGAAATAGAAATGGAGTGTCAATCTGGGAAATTGCTATGCAGGCGTGGGGTATGGGTCTGGCTTGATGAGAAGCACAGAGGGCGATGATCTGATGTAGAGGTAGAGATTGTTCACTGGCAGTGTGCTTGCGGTGTAGCACTTTCTTCACTGGTCATAGCAATGGTGGTGGTTTGGGTGTAAGAAGGTTATGATGAACTGATGACATGACAGATTCATCAGCAAAAGTGGGAAAACTATGTAAGCCAATGTAGACTCCACATTCTTGATGGCCGTCGGCAAGGGGTTACAGAGATCCGAATAGCGTTGCATGCCGGCCACAAAGTATTTTAGAGGTCTGTCGAGCGTTGAAAAGTTGGCCAACCTTTGCAATTCTGTGTATTGCTGGTGGCTCCATTGCGTACCTTGTACCATCATTTCGGAGATATTGCATAGGCATGCACATACATTAAAGACATGTTGGACTCTTGGCAGAGGCAACAAATATTATATATATATATTACACAATGGTATAGTTTATGTGAAGTATCAGCATCTCGTTTTTTTGCTTTGCAAATCAATACGCACCCTTACATCCAAACACCCGTGTACCAAAACTAGCAGGAAGCTGTGTTCCGTATCGGAAATCATACCTGATCCGATTGACTGTACAAAATGAGGTCATCTGATTGCCTGAATAAAATGAGGGAATGTGCGCCGATACTAATCAGGGATTCAAAAAAAATAAAAAATAGAGAGCTGTTCCCCACTATTTTTCAAAAAAATGCTACAAGTCCCCCCCGTCTGTTGTTGCAGGGTTTATGTACCGACTTGGATTAGCATCAGTGGCAGTGTTGGCACTAATGCCGCTGAATTGAATACACCTTCCCGCTTGTCCTGACTCTTGCGATCTATCAGCTGGTTCTGGATTCAACAACCGCCGAAAATCCCACATATGTTGCACCAAATGAAGTACTGCTTTTTATTCAGGTGAGGCCCGCAGTGACTCGGAAACTCCCAAATTACAGTGCGGCATATCCTAGCTCATCGGTAATGTCCTCCATCCCATCTTCCCCATCTTCTGGACCCAGCCTACCACCGTCCGGCGAATCTGAATCAGAGTCTCTGGAACTGGGACTGTCACTGTCAACGTCGCTGGAACTGTCCGACTTATCCGTGCCCGAACTGGCGTCACCCCCATCGTCCCCCAAACTACTGTCCGCCCTGTCCGCCCTATCTTCTGTAGGATTCATCTCTTCATCGGGCAACTCCGGCTCGTCGTTTACAGCATCGGGAACATGCACCTTGTAATGGCCGACACCACCGCCCAGATACCGCATAAGCATGTCGCGATCAACAAAGCTGCAAAAAATGTGAGCACATGTATAGATTATTTCAAGGCACCAACTCACAAATTCACATAGTGGTAAACCCAGTCGTCCAGCTCGCCCTCTAGCCTCGCAAATGACGGTCCAGGGGCATCTTCCGTGGCGCCGTAGTGGAAAGCGGGGATCAGGTGGGCACCCCGAATCACGTCGTCCGGATTTACAAACCCATATGCACCAGACTCAGAATCCGGCACAAATTCCAGACGGTAGAGTCGTTTGCGCTGGAATCCACCTGTATGTGTTTTATCAAGTCGAAACCATCTCACCCATAGAAATTCTGTAGGGATCGGCACTGTCGCTGCCCCAGGGACATCGTGGATGACGTCTGCATGGTAGACACCCAAAATCCGGGCGTACATGAAAGGGTGAGCATTATTGTTCTCAGAGTCTGGTGCCAGCATCATGATGTCGGCATGCGTTCGGGGGTTCATCGAATCTTGGTCCGTCCGCACATCGTACGTCGTATAGTTCACGCGAAAAACCTGATTTTCACATTAACTTTGCAGGAGAAGGTGATTCTTTGCTGTACCTTGTGACGATAGATCCTATCATTCCGAAGCAATAGCCGCCTTCGCTCTTCAGGAGAGAATTCTTCATCGTATGTGGCCGAATTCGGGTACGCAATTCTTGATAACAAATGGTCTTGCAGTTTCGGAAGGAAATCCTGATCCACATCGTGAGTAATACTGCATGCATTGCGACGAAATCACTCACATTGAGCGCCGGATCTCCATCGTTGTCTGCCAGCCAGGATGGCAGGTGAAAGTGATGGTTTCGAGAGGGCGAGATATGGTGATGAAGCTCGGGGGAGGTATAAGGAAGCGACTCAGATTCAGCGAAATCAAGGGTGGGTCGAAGACCCTTTTTGCGCTGCTTCTTTACCTTCCCCGGACCTTGGTGCTCGGGGACCGCGGCAATCGGTGGAATAGCGGCTGCCGCAGCTTGCCTTCGAACGATTTTGAGTAAAGCCTGCTCCCGACGCTCGAGCCGTGTCATTTGCCTGACTGCATTGTTTTTATTGGTGCGTGCATAGAACCGTTTAACCCTGCGATGCTCTAACTCGCCCTAATTCAAACAATATTTAGCATGTGTTTAGAAAACACTGTTTACGCACCGTTTGAGTGGAATATGAATCGGATGTCCCAAAGAATCGGATAGTCGGGACGTAATCGCCTAAGGCATGAGCCTTGTAAGTGGACAAATTAAACCATTTCATCTTCGAATCAGACTTGGAACCACCACCCGGCTTGGAAGCGCTAGTTGGCGGCTCCGACACCCCCGACCGCTTAGCAGCAGCAGCAGCCTTCTTCGCTTGGCGTCGGCCTCGGGCGGCCTCCTCGGACGGAAGCTCCTTGGTCTTGAACTTGGTGCGAGTGTATTTCGCAAAATACCGCAGCTGTCGTCCAAGACTAGATGTGACATCATCCAGCCGTTCAAGCGAAAATGTGGTGTGCATGCGGAGTTTTGCTAATGCGTGCCAGAACGCCAATAGAAAAAGGAGGTCGAGGATGACCTTGTTGTGTTCGTCTGCAAGGAGACCTTCAAAGACTGGAATCGCACACTGAATATTAAAGTGAGCATCGATTCAATCATGTAATTGTTCCACTGACCTGTAACAAATCTTCAAAGTTGCGAGCTGCCAATTTTTTCATAGCGGAAGCATTGTCAGTGAACCGACGAATAGTAGCGCGACCAAACGTCGGAACCATGCGGTAGCTAGATTCCACCAATTAATTCCACTGTGATCAAACCGAAATTTTAGCAACCTCACCGTTGGTTTAACCGTTGAATAGCATCTCCTCCCTCCGAGACCAAAATGCGAATCAAATGAATAAACACGCTTTTCCAGACGCCTAACTCGAATTCATGCATGAAGTCGACCACAAGCATGGTATGGATGCTCAGTCCGAATATTGTCATGCACGAGAACGCGTTCTACAAATAATGTTATGTGAGTATTGATATCGCAACGGGGGAAAACGCGCACCAAAGTCGGAACCAGTGAGTGGGCCATCAGAGTTTTTTCAACCATCTTGCTCTTAATTCCGTATGCGCGCTGATAAATCCAGTCCCTTGCCTTGCTGATGGTGAATCGGGTCGGCTCGTCATCCTTGCGCGCATTGTTGACGCGCCGCTTCTTATCATTCACGGTCCCAATCTCGTTAATCTGATCCTTCTTGACGAGACAACGAGGACAGGGACATCCGCCCAAGTTGCGAATCGTGGCGAGAAGGACTCTGCACAGGATGCCAGTGAGCATTTATAATCAGAAACAACCTAATACTCACTTTTCGGGGTAGTCCGCAGAGTATGTGAAGAGCCGCAAGTAAAAGCGTCGAAATATGCCGTCAGGACACT